ATGTATATATTTAGATAAACGGATATAATGTTAATTCATTCATCATAATCATTATTCACTAAAGGATTGGATAAAGTTATTCTTTGCATTCTGTATAGCGCCGACCTGGCGCGTGCCTCGCATTTTCGACATGGTCTGCCCCAATTTGTCAGTGACTACTTGTAGGGTGAAACTCGTCTGGCCGATTGCCACTCCTTGGTACACAGCTGGAATTTATAGTCATTGGTCCTTCCCCGGGTGCGACATATCGAACAAAGTATACATCTAGAGCCAGCGTGTTTCAACTCGTTGTGGCCTATAATATTGGGTTAACGTAAAAATATAAATGAATATCGTTAATTACATCTCAAAAGTTGTTTTCGGAATTCTCAGAAATTTTAACCGTAGCGCATTTATCTACTTTACGTTGTGGTCAATTCTCAGAAAGGGCTTGTTAAGTTTGCTATTTCAAACGAGAAACTTTGACAGAGGAGGTCGACTATCGGAGCGTGCCGCGTTTAAACATCTTTCACCGCCGGCGAGCAATATCTCTACCTTTCTTCCTGCGCCTTTGTGCTTCTTCTCTAATTTTACAAGGCGTTAAGTGCCACGTTTTGTGCTTGATTCTCTTCGAGCTCCGCCGATACTCATTTCCGCCTTTCTGTCGCGCAAATGAGTGCAAGAGGTTCGCCATAAACCTCTCCGACAACAGCTCGTAAAACTACATCCGTTCAAATTCATAAAAGAGCACTAATAATAATAAAGTATTATTAGTTTATTAGTCGAAATTATTATTATAGGTGTGCGAATAGTTCGAATTCGAATCGAATCAAATCGAATCACTGCAGTAGATTCGATGCGAGTTCGTTTTTGAATCTGCAAGATTCAAAATCGAATAGTTCGAGAATTTTGAATCAACAATCGTTCGATTTCGAATCGATCGTCTATTTTATTTAGTTCATTTACATCTCCCGCGAGACCAATTATTCTTAACTAATAAATAAGTATTTTGGATATATTTAATGTATTCATATAGATTAATAAAATATTCGAAAGCATTATTTTATTTATGTATACACATATTATTGATATTAATATTTTTCAGTTAAAAATGTCACATAAGATCATGATCCTTTGTAATGAGATGTAAATCGAAAACAGGTCTTGATTTTGTTTAATTCATTGCGTAAAATAATGTAAATCATAAATTTTGATATTTGTTACGTTTAAATTAACATGTAATGTTAATCTGGGAAAATTTGATTCAGATTCAATTCATATTCGAATTAAAGAGATTCGATTCGATTCGATTCGATTCGACCATGCAAATGCTTGATTCGCATACCTCTAATTATTATAGAATTATAATCACTCTCTCTGGTTAACTTAATTAAAGGAATTGCAATATGGCAATATTAATGATAACGAAAATGCATTAAATTATACATATAATGCATGATGCATAAATACATTAGAGTAAATATAATCCGCAATTGAATTGGAAAAATGTTTTGTATTAAATTGGAGTATATTAAGGCGTCTGATTAGAATGCTATATGACACTGCGCCAATTAGTAACATAATAATAAATAAGATGGTTTATGCATGAGATCAATGGACATTAAGACAACACAACTAAAGATGTAAATATATATTGGAGCAGTGGAATACGAATGTTTGCAAGGAGTGAGAGATGTACGTGTATTGGATAACTTTAGGATCCAATTAAAGTGACGGTATGCTAACGAGTATCGAAATAGTATCGTTACTATAGTGACGCATCGATTAGCCGGCTCGGAGCCACCTACGATGTAAACGATGCGTGGGCGTAATCTGTCCTAAAATTCGACGTGCGAGACGCGCGTAAAATAACACGAAACGTTTCTAACGACGTTGCCGTATACTAATTGATAATTTAATAAATTTTCTTTGATGCTGCTATTTTATTTTTATAGCGTCAAAATAATAAATTTAAAGGAAATATAATTGTGAAAAAGAAATGTAAAAATTAATTAACAAAATTAAATGATTTTATATAGCAATTGTATGAGTGCCCAATACATCTCAAAAATTTATTTAATGTTTACTAAAATAAATTTTGAGAGCGTCTTCTATGGATGAGGAAATCTAAATCTTGATGCCTAATAATATTTCTATACGAATTTTAAATGTATTATTCAATCACTTAAACTGCGCGCTGAATTAAAATTCAAATAGAAATATTATTAGACAAGATTCAGCCTTGACCGTAGAAGAGGCTCTCAAAGTTCATTTGTGATATTCATTTACGCGATCTAATTTCAATTGTTTATATGTTATTATCTAAACTCTTCTCGAAATATTTTTTCTGATTTAAGAGATAGTTTATTGTTGCTGGAATAATTAATTCCGAAAAATATGGCAAGTAAAACAGTTAAAATTTTTTTTCATGTGATATTAAAGCGCAGAAAAATATCAATATTTATATGATATTATTATATTATATAATATTATTAACAACCAAAAAAGCACGACAATTAGTTGGCGAGACAAATGACAAATAACATGCTAAGAATAAGTGCGTGTCAATATCCTCACGGATGGATCGAGTAAGACAACAACCTGGGATAGGTGTGCTCGTTAGGAAGCACCCTGCGGGGGTGGCGTGAAGGATAACTTAATGGGGAACACGTTGAGGATACAAAATAGACCGCGGCAGAAAGCAAGCTCGTTAACGTTGATCGCTTCATGTTTCAGAAACAGCGTAATTGGTCAATTACCTGTCAAAACTTTTTTAGACTTCAAGAAATTACTCATTAGTTCACCGTCGTAATCTCAATGTATGAGATTCGTCGAGTTTAGTTTTGTTTATTACAATTTATCGTAGAACAATATAATAGAAAATTATTATATTACGTAATTATTATCTTTAAACGGCAGTAATTTTACATCACTGATAAACATTATCTTAATAACAGCATGCAATAATCAAATGTCTCTTGATTGGATTATTAATAGAAAACTATTTATTAGTCCGAGGAAAACAATTTTATTAACACATAAAATTTCTATAAAATTAATCTTTTATCATATTAATTAAAAAATTATCGTTTTATAATTTATGATAGATATGCAATAAATTCATTGTATATTCGTACGTGTATAATTGCAGTTTTACTTTCGGGGAATAATAAACTGTCAAAAATTTCCTTCTTTTAAAAAATTACTCTCAAATAATGGCTTTTTCGATAGCTTTTGAAAGCTACTTCCGACAGCTTCGTTGTCTATCTTTTGGAAGCCTCGTTTAGTTAATTTCACTGTCACGCCGTTCAAACAAGGTGATATTTAAAAATGGATCTTACACCACGGTCGCGTTCTGAACTGTCCACCGTTTCCAATCTCGAAGCATCCGAATGCAAGTACCTCTCGGATTAAAGCCTGGCACCAAGATGGTGGATCTGCGGACGATAGGCGCGGCCGGACGACGCAGTTGGTCCGAATGCGACCAATCAGGATCGGACGAAAGTCAGTACGACGATGCCACGCCATCCACCACCACGTCGGAACACGGCGCATGCCGGGGAATCACGAATTAAAATACCTTGCTCTATACCCTCGGCAGTCGCCCGTCGACCTGTGCGTCATACGGTCGCCTTCCGATACCTTTATACAGTGTGCAGTGTATAGTCCCGGCGGTTGCCATTGTCATCATCATCAACGTGGTGTAGAAATGTTCACCGTTGATGCTGTTATGTTGACGAGAGAGAGAAACCATTTACAATAGTGGACATAAACAATTCCAGAAAACAAATTCTCATCGAACGTGGGAAAAAAATTATACAATATTTTATGTGTTCCTTTTGCAAAACCCCTGACGATTGGAACCTGCCGGCTTCTCTGCATGAATTAACAGTGTTCCGTGCATTGGTCTTTGCGTCATAATTGATGATATAACGTTCAGCACGAGAATTCAACAAATGCCCGATGGAGTTTCATATTACATTATTGTCCCAGACATATTTAACTATTTATAACTATCAGTTTTATTTAACGCCGCTACATCACATGGAAGTGCCGTGCATTACATTTCAATAATCAAATATGATTTTTCATACGACACAGATGTTATCTATTCCCAGATATCACAATTTTCATGTGAACCTGTGCTGTCAATTATAATAAGTAATAACCATTAGTGCTTCTGTAAATCAAGAAGTTCAACGAAGGATCAACGATAATGAAGTGTAATAATGCAAGCTAATAATCTTTCTTAATTTGTTCGACCGTATTAAAGAAAATTGTGACCTGCAGTGTGCCAAAGTACATTGATTTATATGCAAATGCAAATTTGCACATCGAAGACTATAGTGATTTTCCTACTACGGGAGTTACCGTCAATAAAATGTAAATGAAAGAATTACCTTAAACACGTTGACTGCCGAATTAAAAGACTAAGATTCAATAGTGTGATAATAGATTGTAACAATAATTTTTATCTGTTATATTTCAATACTGTGTAAAACCAAATAGAGAAAGAAAATAAGATGATTGTAAACTAATAGTAACAATTATTCAAAGTGTTAAAGCTCATTATAAAATGTGCCATAGTTGTCGTAATGCAAAACACAGTACACAAAAGTGAAACAAAGCAAAGTATTATGAAAGATTCGTTAATAAATATAAGGCACCTTTTAACACCGATCGACAACCCTAAACTATAACGCTGTAGTTTTACTCAATGTCAACAATTTAAATAAAGCTGCTCTCGACATTTCTTACGCTTTATCTAGGGCACGACAACAACAAATTAAATCTGCAATTCACTTTCTCGAAATACTTTCGCGACAGTAAATTCGGAGCAGAGGACAAAAGCAGGACATTCATTATTTCTTAATCTCGCAACGCTTTGAACACCGCACGAAGAAGAAACGGCAACTACTGCGCGCGACAAAGAAAGATTATGTTCCGCACGTAGTATCGGATTGAGATCGATCCCGCTCGATTTCGGACGTCGGCCCCTCGTGTCCAAGGAGGAGTTCATCATGGACGTGAGCGTGGAAGAAACCGAGCTCGACGTCGGCTCGGCGAGCGACGAGCTGGAGTCGTCCGCCGCGGAGCCGAAGCTCGCGCGACGTCCGACACCGCGGCCCTTCACGATCGAGAGCTTGATCGGTAGCGCGCGCGAGGATCACGATACCGTCGGCGGCGGCGGCGGCGGCGGCGGCGTCATGCGAGACGACCGGACGAACGGCAGCGAGGAGGAAGAGCACCGAGACCGGGAGTACCAGCTCTATCAGAGGCACTACCTGGCGACCGCGGCGGCGAGCACGCTGCCCTCGGGTGAGTACATTTTTCCATTTCCTGTAGTACAGTAGGGTACTTAAATAGCGCCCATTAATTATACAGCGTTATTCTTTGTAAAAAACTTGTGAGTCGAAAAATTCTGAACCACTTTTTCTACAGAAAAGCTAAATAAAGAGATCACTACTGCAGTAATTACTGCTTCATTGAGCATTGTAGAGACAAAAATTGTTCTTACACAGTGCTCGCTAATCATATAACGTTATTTCTTATAAAAAATTAAGTCGAAAAGTGTCTTGAGAACCATTTTTTTCTCTACAATGCTCAATGAACCAGTAATTGCTGCAGTAGTGATCTCTTTATTTAGCTAGTAGATATAAAATGGTTCAGAATTTTTTTCAGTTTTTTTACAGTCATTCATTCATTGTAACATTGTAGAAAAAATTCGTTCAGGACTTTTCAATCTTAGTGTTTTTTTTACAAGGAATAATGCTATATAATTAGTGGGCACTATTTAAGATACATTATGTACAAGTGAACCAAACTAAAGAAATTGAGCTATCGAAAAAAAAACTCGGGTATCTCTTTTATTTAAAATTTTATGCCGTCTCCCGCCACCAAAACATCTTCGAATTTCGACAGAAGTAATACAGAAAAATGGTTCTCAAGACACTTTTCGACTCAATTTTTTATAGGAAATAGCGTTATATGATTAACGAGCACTGTGTAAGAACAATTTTTGTCTCTACAATGTTCAATGAAGCAGTAATTACTGCAGTAGTGATTTCTTTATTTAGCTTTTCTGTAGAAAAAGTGGTTCAGAATTTTTCGACTCACAAGTTTTTTACAAAGAATAATTCAAAAATTTTTCAGCGACAAAACATACTTTCTCAATAATAAATATCGGAACTGGAAGCGTAAAAGTAACGTACAATTGAAAACTTTTATACAAACGCAAGATTTAAAAAATGAGATCTTTCTTTTATGTTCATTATGTGTGCGTGAAGTTTATTCTAGCTACCAGAGTGTTTAAAAAGAATTCAGTCATATGTCATCAATTCTGAGTCAATTTTCAAATGCACAAAAAAATTCTTTTTCTAGAAGTTTTGAAAAAGCATTCTTTTTGCACCTGAAAATGAACTCAGAATTAATAACATACGATAATATACGAATTAATTTTTTTAAGTTCTCTGTGCTATTTAGAGTTATTATAATTTTTAAGAAGCCAGGATTCAGAATTCATATTAAATATGTTTAATTATTTTATAAAAAGTTTTCGAACGAGAAAGATGCGGATGTAAGTAAAAACTTAACGTCGCGACTGCAGTTTAAAATACGACGACTACAAATACCTAAAAATGAGCGAATCGATAACTGTAGCAATGAGACCGCGTTACACACTTACATGTCTGCTGTATTTCTAGAATTTGAAATTCATTCAGCGTTTTATTTAATCTTCTGTAATGAACATGAATAGAAAATGTAAAATTATACCAAATAAATACTAGAAGCAGAAATAATTTAAATAAAATTACAAAATTATTTTTATTGAAATAATTCTCTTTGCAGTAAATCTTGAAGACTATCGTAAAATTAAAGTTCTTATTAATCCATGAAGATAATTTTTAAACAGCCGCACTTTCATTAATTTTTCATATGCCTATTTCCGGTCAGTTGATTGTAAACTAATAAACTTCTTAAACATGAATTTAATATCTGTTTTATTATATTAATACGATTACATCGAATTTATATTGAATTAGCTATTTTAGAAACTCTCGATTTAGTAAAAAAATTTCTCATTTAATATACAATTGTTAAATATTAAATAATTTTAAAATTATTATGCAATCTTGTATTTCTTTCTCTATGTATATATGTATACATATATGTGTTCTTTTTCGCATTAAGTTCGTGAATATCATCTTCCGTCGGGAGAATTGTGACGCGCGTTAAAATCCGGATGATCATCGGTATAACCAACACTGTGATACTATAATTACATTTTATACATAAAAAGGAGTAATTACATTTAAAGAGTCACACATAAAAAATAGTATTAAATATTATATTTGCTAGTCATAACATTGGACGTATAACAGTTTCGAGTTTTGAGCAAATTAATTGGGAGAAAGTCACATTCTCACCTGGATGTGTTTTTTTTTTCATTTATATTTAATTGAGTTACAACTGTTCATATAGAGATTATAGAAAATCGCTGTAAGATATTATATAACACAGTTGCTGTGAAACATTCTGTCAAGTCAAAGGCGCCGTAGTGTCTAAGCGATGCTCCAAATCGTGAAAAGACCAGGTGCTGGCGACGTTTCGCGGACTATAATTTGCGATCACGGATATATAAGTACATAATTGGAACCTACGGAACTCACCGTTTTTTCTCATGTCTTATATTCAGTTTACGTAGTATGGTGCAATATAATGCAATTTTGTCGTTACGCTAATTTGTAACCGCAATATTACGTGCAATTGACACGTTTTCAGATTCGTCAAAAATAGAGAAAATTGACGCAATAAATTTAGTAAAGAAGAATGAACGTTCCGCGCGCGTATTAAAATTTAAATAACGAAAGATATGGTTATAATATAATGAACGAGAACAAAATTAATATTAAAAATACGTGGACTTAAAAAAATGGTAATTGGATGCAAAAGTAAATGTTTAGAGAGGCATTGAATAAAAATTTTTCGCAATAAATTCTTTACAGATTTTGGAGGAATTCTTATGCTTGTTAGCATCAAAGACGTTAAATTACTTGTCAATTTAATTGATCGTTACAGTGGATTCCGACTTCATGTAAGAACTGTGTTTTAAGTCTGACAAAAATTGCGACGCGCAGTTTATGTGGGGCTGGAGAATATAACAATAAAATTATTGTACACACACACACACAAACATTCGTGTCGGCTTAGATTGGCTATTACTTTGATATATTGTATAAAAGGATTAAATGGAAATAAGACGTAAAACTCGATTTACCTTGTGATTTCATTCGTGTGTTTATCATTTAATACGAGTATTACAATTGCAGTTACTATTAGTAATGGACGAATTTATCACTAATAAAGATCGTCTACGAAGTAAAATATTAGCTATTGCATTTTATATTAAGTAACTGAACTTTATATTCTTGCGATCTGAAATATACCTATACCTCCGCTATTATCTTAAAAAATAAAATCCCTGAAATGTGTATATAAAGAATATTTGTCTAAAACAAAGTAAAATAAAATAAAATTTTATGTGTCTAATAAAAAATTTATAGGTACCATCATTTCAGATTCGAAAACATATTTTCAATGTTATTCAATATAGACCAATTAAATTTATCTCCAAATATTTATGATTATCAATAATTAGAGAAATCAAGAATTTATGTATTAATGATCACTAAATTAAAATAATTAATTGGATCAAATCAGTACCAAGATGGGTATATTTTAGGCTTGAGTAAACGATGTGGTATATGTATTATCCAAAAGCATCCTGCCCAAATCTAGGTCGGTCGTCTTTATATATCTTTGCGACACAATAAATCCCTTAAATCTATCAATTATCTACTAACTACTTAATTACCTAAATCCGCCGACCGTTTATCCATCAATTATGCATCATCTGTGCAGGTTTCGGCGTGCCGCTCGGATTGTACAGCGCTTGGCTACCGATGCGGATGTACGGCGGCGGCGGCGCATCCGGCGTCTCGATGCTGCCGCCGCAGCATCCGTCCGCCGGCTACCCGGCTCACCCGGAACTGCATCAGAGCCGGCTGTCGCAGCCCTCCGCACCGCCGTCCAGCCATCCGCAGGGATACTATCCACTGGACGGTTGCCGCCGTGTCACGAATCAGCGTGCGCCGAGTAGCTTCACCGACAGCGAGGACGAGGACGGCAGCGTCGGTTCGCCGGCGTCGCCGGCTCACGATCTTTCTAAATCCCGGCACGGTAAGTTTAACATATGTTACTTAACTATTTTTTAAAGCAATATAAAGAAACAACTATACATCATCACAAAAAATTAAAAATTGCGAAAAAAAGCTTCTTAAGTCATACGGAGAGAATGAATTTTAAGTATTTTGAAGTACCTATTTAAAAATTTGAAAATCTACAGATTTTAATAATTAATAAAGGTCTGAAAATAATTACGCGTATATATTGGATCAAAATAGTTATGTAGAACATGCAAGCATGATTCTAATACTGCCAAAAATTTTGATGACATAAAATTTTAACAAGCAGCTTGAACGTCTAATACAATTATTTTTATATCTGACGAAATTATTTTTAGGTCTGCAGTTAGTTAAATTTTTAGATACATCATCAAAAATCGTTCTTTCTGTACAGTCTTAAAATAATTGTCTAAATTTTATGATTAAAATAATTTTAATAAATTTAGAAGAATTGTTAAACAAAATATTATTAGAAGTATTATTAAAAATACATTATATTATTGATCTTTAGAAAGTAATTAAACAAATATATTAAAAATACATGTGTGGAAAACGGGCATTAATAAAATATATTACTTAACTGACTCTTCACTAGTAAAACAACTATATATATCAAGCGCTTATATTAATGCAAAAAAGGTTTGAAACAATCTTTTGTTAATTTTCTAGAGCATATATTAATACTTATCTCGAATGATAAATTATGGCAAGATACCTATGTATTATATAATTTAAAACCTGTCGATGGTGCAGTAATTTGAAACGAATGAGAGTCGATCAATGAATAGATTCTTCAATTTTAGCCCGATTTGTAATCTCTCCGACTGTACTTGATTGCCAGTGCATAATGGATAAGTTCATCCTGTGCTTGTGTCAATATATATCTTCATTATGGTACAATTTTAGACATTTCAGGAAGAAACTATTAGGCTGTAATAAGATTATACAATAATTAAACATCGAATCGTGCAAATATAGATGTTGCCGCTAAATTGGTTATCTCTAAAGAGGGATAGATCTACGTATCCAATCGCGAAACGGGAGAAATCGGTGGGTCCGAGAATCCATTTACGAATTCTGGTGGCGTGTCTTCGGTCACGATCGCAGTCGCCACGATCGACCGCAAAGGATCGAGATACACGGTAGCGTGCATAAATAATTATCGCGCTCCCGTGGCACGATCTCATCTTATATACGTGCATAGGTGTGTATAAGTGGACAAACCGCGTGGTATCTCAAAGTATATCTTGACCGAATTTCTAATATGTCGAGAAAATAGATCTATCTTCGTATATTCAATTATCCCTCATAGGCCGGTATTCATAGTCCGCTCTTATTTCAAGACTGTCTTAAGTAATGTCTTAAAATGCTAATCCGGCTCTGATTGGCGATTGGTCTTTATGACATCTTAAAATTCATTCTTATATTTAAAACAGTCTTAAATATAAAAGTGAAACTTATTAATACCGGCCATTTGCTTTTTTCAAAACAAATTTCCTCGGTATATGTTCAGTAAATTAGCTTGAAAAGCTGCAGTATCAAGTTAGGACAGTGAAGAGAAAATTACTTTGAAGATGTAGTTTTTGTTAGATCAACATAAGAACGCGTATAACAGTATATAAAATAGAAATTTAGCGTATATCGTTTTTATAATTGAAATAGTGATACTCGAGACAAGGAATCCAGTTTTTTTTTTCAAGGACTTTTACCGTATTTCACGGAAGGCTCCGAATGCGTCGCCGTTCGACCGCCGAAAGCCAAAGGATACATGACCGCCGATCGCCGATCACGTATTTCCGTGGGGACAATTCCGATGGTGTACAGACGCGCGCATTTATTCGTGGCCGGACACACTTTTTATTGATGTACCGCCGACCGGCGGCGATTTCGTATGCGAGACGAAATGGCTTCGGGGAATCTGTCATCGGTCATTTATGACGCACCGCGCCGAACCGGTGCGTCGATCGTCACGCCGGCGAGGCGCGATCGCGACGTTCCACGAATTCGTCGCGATCCACCTATACGTGCGAGCATTGCAGCGTCCTCGCGCAATGTATGGATTACCGATCCTGGTCCTGTCGACAAAAAACCGGGGGAGGAGGAGGGGAGGGGAGGAAGGAAGAAAGAGTCCGAGACTTTAAAATTATCGACTTCGATTCGATTTGCACTTCAACGACGCCGAAAACGAGGCGCGAATTTAAAGACCGGAGATTCTAAACTTGAGCAGCAACGTAAGATGCAAAGGTTAAGTGGGCCAAAAATATGTATTTCTCCCAACTTCTACTTCTTCCTTAAAAATAGAAATCCTGAGACTCTTAGAATTAGTAAAGCGTAAATCATTAATTACATTAATACAATTATTAATTTTAATACTCCTGTCATTTTTAACTTTTCTTTAAAGAATAAGTAACAGAAGTATTTAAAAAATGAAGAATTAAATTAGACACTGCACTTTGAAAAATCAAATTCTCAAGCGTTCAAAAATTTAAATGAGTCATATTAACTTTGTATTATCTATGTATTTAACTGCAGTCATGTTTTCTAATATGAAACACTCTTCTATTATTCATTTACATGTATTTATTTATATAGTATTTCTCTTTCTTGCGTGTATTTACATTAGTGTTGAATAAATTATGTATAATTTGTGAATATATTATGACACACGAAATAAAATATCCCTGAACTTAAATTGTCGCATATCTACTGTGGAATTGTTAGATGATTCGCCACAGATAGATTGGCATGTAAGAAACTAAAACAGGGATGATATATTGTTTAACGCAATGCATGACACATAATTGCTATTTTATAGGATCGGGTTTTATTCTTGATCACCTGAATTTTTATACAAGCACGAACGAGCAGTTATTTTAATGCGATCGTCGATCGAGACGATGCGTCATAAATACACAACGTCGCGTAGCTCAGATCTTATCGACTGCCGAAGCTATTATCCAATGACTAGAAGTTAAAAATAACTTCGTCTTTTGCAATGTCTAGAACCTCCGAAATTTTTGTACAAATTTTTGTAACTGAAGGACCGGAAAAATATCGAGCGCTTTCATTTACAAAAATAACATATTAAAGATAATATATTTTATTACAGACGATTCTGTTTATTTTAATGGTATTACAGAATATATTTTCGAGCGCACACACACACACACACACGCACACACACACACACACATATATATATATTCAAATTAAAGCTGCATAATTCAAACACATTTAAAGTTTCCTTCATGAAGACGATATACTCGTATTTCACGTCGTTTGTGTAAATAATTTATTTAAATGGCAGATTAAACTTTTAAGGTATGTATCTATATAATTCTCAGAATCATAAATGTGTCATTTTGGACTTTATTATCGAGAAGAACGAAAATATCAAATCCACGAACATATCGCATAGATATATTGAAGATTGGATTAGTAACAGAGATAAGTACTTTGAAATGAGAACGAGTCTCGCGATATTCAACAGCGAATTATTAATCAATGGCCCAGATGTGACACGGCGGAAAGTGTGTTAACGGCGTTTTCATCATGAGAACACGAAACCTGGCTGCATGAATCGGATATGTGGAAGACTCGAGCGAAGCTTTTGAGTGCCTATGCAAAATTTAGAGTTCCATTCACGGTGACGCGGAACGATTTGATTCGCCGTCGCTTCGGAGGTAATCAAATGATCGTTCATAAAATCTTGTTTCATCTCGAAAATAACAAATTCTCCGATAGATAGATAATATACTTTTAAACGATGAATTTAATTGTGTCACACACGATATGGGGCTAAGTGACATTTACGGCAAACAAAACAAAATTATTTCCATATTTAATTGTGAGTCATTTACGAAGATGAAATTTTTTTTTGTACCAAGTAGAAATCCAATGAATTTTTCTTTATTTCTATGTAATTGCAAAATATTACACGTCATATTATGCAATTTTAAATTTCTATTGACTTTTGGCTTTGTTTTCGGTACAGAAATTGTTATAAAAATCGAAATTAACTTCTGTGATTTATCTAAAAAAAATCCACAGTTAAATTAAAATTGCATTAAATTAAAACTAATATGAAACATTCGTGACTTATTTCAAATTTTTCAAATAATATAAGAAATATAAAAATATTTCGATCATTTTCGAAATAATTTATATTCTTTATATATTTATATTATTAATTTCTATATACCTACAGCACAAAAATAAACAAATTATGAAGTAATTACTTTGTAATTGTCTATTTCCGCACTCGAATCTAATTCGACGATGTTCAAATGACATATGGGAAGATAATCATCGAATGCCACTTGAATTTTAATCGCCGATTCTACGGCGGGAAGCCGATTAGCGTATCGCGCGTCGAACGAACGGAAGGATCATATTTCGATTTGGCGTACGAGTCGAAAGGATCTTTTAGAGCACGTCATTCGTCATTCATAGCCATCAGGACGACGACCGAGATGAAGGCGATTATATGAAGGACGGTGCTGCTCGAGTCAGGAACGTGTAACAAAGTAGCTGTCGCGTCGCTGTGAATGGAAACCGTCAATTCTCCAGCACCGCCGCGACGGTTGAGCGTCGTGTGATATTTATATATAATGCCTGCAGCGCTGCAGAATTAACGATACAACCGGTATAACCTGGGCTATAACTGCCAGCGACCGCAGACGATATAGCAATTAGCAGTAGCATAATTACATCAAAGACACACTTATAAAGGAAATTCATCGATAAGTTTCATACAATCAGATGGTTTAAAATTTATCAAACTAGCAAAATGTTTTTCTAAAATGTGCTTCTAAAAATTAGGATTGATAATATTTGCACTATAGCCTGACGATTTTAAATATAAGTAACGAGAGAAATGGCAATAAATTTATGAATTATTACTATACTATACTTGTACCTTTATTAGAAAAGCTGTTAATATTTTTCAGCAAATATTTTTAATTAATTACTTAATATATTTTGTATCTTTTAATT